GGTGGACATGGACGGGGTGCTGGCTGACTTCGAGGGAGGATTCCTCAAGAAATTCAGGGCCAGGTACCCTGACAAGCCCTACATTGCCCTGGAGGACCGGAGGGGCTTCTGGGTGTCGGAGCAATACGGGCGCTTGGGACCCGAGCTGAGTGTGAGTCTCTGCGCGTGTCTTCATTGGACTCGATGATCTTAAAGGTCTTTTCCAATCTAGGCAATTCTGGGATGGATTCTGTGCAGCTGGACCTCCAGCCCCTGAGGGACCCACTGGCCCCCAACTCGTGGGTGCAGCGCTGGGGAGGGCTGTGGGTGCTGGCTGGAGCTCCCACCAAAACACAGGTAGAGGTTTGCACACAGGAGGGCTTCCACTGACGCCTTTTCCCCAGAAATCCACCATTTTTCATGCACATCTCTTCTCCCTGCATGCATGGATGGAGATAGATGCAAGGAAAGGAGATCTTTCAGAACATCTGTTTTAAAATATCCTACATTGCATAGCTAAGTTTTTCTAGCTCTGATTTGGCCATGGATTGGTTCTGTTCCTAGATGGATTCTTTAGTTGCTCAACAGCAATGTGAGGGGTGGGATGCAGCAGAGAAATTGAGAGCAAACCATGCAATTGATGCTTCATGTGAGGGCTTACTTAAAATTAAAACAACCCCAAGCCCTCCCATGCCTGAAAATTATTGTGTTCATTTTAATTGAAGCCTAAAAGCAGAAGCTCTCTTTATGTTGTACTTTATCATTCAATGAAGGGCTGAGCGTTGCAGGTCGGTTTCTGCCTCTACAAGTTTCCTATCTTGATGGGATGTCTGTGGTCTCATCTGTGGGTTGCAACTGCACTAGTTGAAAGGTGTTGCAGCAAATAAAAGTACTCTTGTTAGTGGTATGATGGTTACAAGCAAGGGAACATGAATAAGGTCTGGGGCTCTCCCACTGGCAAAGTCCTAAACAGGTTGATGGGCTGAAGGAATAACATGTCCTCTCTAGCTGGGATTGATGAAAGGGAAATGGAGGACATCATTCATGCAGTGAGCCAGATGCTAAAAGTTTGGTAGGGGTAATGCATGATAACTCTGTTTTCTTTTTTTCTTGATCTTAACTACTTTGGATGTGTTAAATGAAGTGAGCTTCTCTTGTGTCTGCTGTGATCACGTAAAACCACCACAAGCTTGGGCTGAACAAGTAGCAGAACTTCCACAGACCGACCTTGGGGCAGCCCTGATGTCACCTGTGGTTTCAGACCAAGGACGAAGATAGTAGGAGCTGCTCTGTGGCTAAAGGCACATGGGCCATTCCAGTCCCCCTTCGTCAGAGAGCACCATCGACCTGCTGCAGGAGACCGGAAAATAGGAGCCAGAGAGTCCGACAAGCTGGAGGTCCCAGCTGTGAAAGGGAGAACAACAGCTCAGCAATACACCAAGCACACAGACCTGGAAGGATGAGGGGCCCTGGACAGGCTGGGAAATTGCTCATGGGGAGAGATAAGAAGAAGGAAATTGAGGGTCTGTCCTGCCTGACACGTGGTGGGATTCCCAGGCTGGAGAATTTTTCCATTTGCTGGGCAGGATGCTGGCTGTGGTGCTACAGGGAGTTATTCTGGCTCTGGAAGCCGAGCGAGTCTTTTCTTCAAGATGACCTTAGTTCTTCCTCCATTGAGCTTGATTGCAAAATGCTTTTTGAGATAAGCAGAAGCAGAAGAGCTACGGAAGTTCTTGCATGGTTTGAAGAGCTTTGCTGCACCAAGCTGCATTTCTCAGATGTCTCTTGTGCAACTACAGTCGGTATCTTAAAAATAAAATGGCATTGACCACCAGTCTAAGGCAGAGCAACTGGAGTTTGAATGTTTGCCTGGCCCCACGGCAAACTGTTAGGGTAGTTGTTCTTGTCATGGTGCCAGGAGGTATTTCTCCTGGCTCTCTTGCACCAAATCAGTGTGTTTCACCTTGAACATGTATGAAGAAGGCTTTTCTTCTGTCCTCTGAACCACTGATGTTTTCTGCTGGTCAGGCAAAAGGGAATAGTGTGACAGTTGATCCGAGCAGTCTCTCCTTTGAAGTTGGTTATCTGGTCTCCTCATGTTATCTGTGATTTTTTGAGAAATAGAGGGTTTGATTCTGACATGTCATGTTAAATGTTCTGTGCCCAAATATATCTAATGGCTTCATGCATTCATCTTCCTGAGAGCAGGCAAGGAGGGTGAAGCAGAATGTGACTCCCCACGTGAGCGTTGTGTTTGCTCTGGGGCGTTGTGTCCCTGAGCCTGGAGTTCACAGCAAAGCCCCAGTTGCTCGTGGTTCCTGCTTTTTTCCCCCAAGAAGTGTAGTAAAGGCAAGACAAGGTGGGACCGGCTGGATTCTCACTCCTCGGGTAGGAGGGAGCTGCAAGTCTTAGCTGGTGTGTCCAAGCAGCCAGCGTATCAGCGACACTGAGCCTGCTCTCCCCTACCCTGCTGCTCTGCCAGCTCCTCCATACCCTTGCAATACAAGGTGGACAGAATGAGTTTAAATTTCTTTTTGTCCCTATTCTCCTGCCTCAAATGCAGAAACAGAGATGCTAAAAATCAAGATCAATCTTTCAGGGCAGGGCTCCCTTCAAAACTTCTCACAGCTGCAATGCTGGGATGCGGCTGCTTCCTCTGCCCGCGGCCACGTTGCAACACTCCCAGGCTTTTCTCCCCCAGGACACAATGTCTGTGCAAAATAATTGCTTTTCTTGGCGGCTGACAAGCCGTTACCTGTTTGAGGGAGTGCAAGGGATGCTGTTCCTTAGAGCTGTGCTGGATCCATCGCAGGCAGCCCCTGGACTCTGCCCTCATCCCAAGGTTTTGCTCCCTGTGGTCTCTCCCAGCTCTGCTCTCCCTGTGTGCCACACCAGTGCACCCCGACTGCTGACCCTGATGTTAAGTGTTTCAGACCTTTGCCTGCAGATGCTCTATTTGCTTGGTAGACCTTGCCCAGGCGTCCCTCAGGAAGAGCATCTGCATTCATCCTGACATATAGTTCACCCTGTAATACACTTTCTCCTGTGAGAGCAGCCTGGTTGCTATTTTAAGTGATCTGATTGAGACAAATAGGCCAGACAGCATCTGTGGCTGAACAGCATCACGTCACAGCAGGGCTACCAGACCATGTCAGCTGGATCCACGTGCAAGTGCCCCTCCAGATGCAAACCCAGGGTTTGGTTCAGTTCTGGACAATCTCTTGTGGTTTTGCCTTGAAGGAATGTGCTAATGCCTCTGTGTCTGTGGCTGCACAGGCAAATCCAAGCCTGCTCCAGAGCATCTCCAATCTAAATTGTTTGGGATGGGTGCAGGTTGGCAGGTGGGAACAGAACCACCCACAGAGGCAAGGTGGGTTAGCAGGAGGGGACCAGACCCACCTCTCTCACTGTCACCATCCTCTGTCCTAGCACAGGGTGGGGAAGAGGCACATACAGGCAGAAGAGTAGCAAGAAGCCCAGTGCAGTAACCACTCTCTTTCCCCTCACAGGAGAAAGCCATCAGCATCTGGGAATCCAAGAACTTCTTCATCGAGCTGGACCCGCTCCCCGGGGCTGTGGAAGCTGTGAAGCAAATGGCAAATTTGGCTGAGTGAGTAGGAA